TCATTAAAATATGATTAGAAAATATTCGTCAAACAATTATAATTATGCAAATTAGATAATTAATATGCACAGATTTAAGCACAAATTAAACAGGTCTGTGCATTGTCTTAGAGCATACATAAACCAAGTCTCATTGAAATGTGATTAGTACGTGAGAAATCAGAGGTAAAGGCAAAAGCATTATGCAAATTAGGTATTTAATATGCATGGAATTTTATCAAAAAATAAACAAGTTTGTGCACTGTCCCAGATCATCTATGTACCAAGTTTCATCAAAATCCAATGATATGATATATCTATAGATATGAGTGGAACAGCTATTATCAAATTAGCTAATTATCATGCAAATTTGGTAAGTAATATGCATGAGATTTACACCCAAACAGAATCAAATCTGCAGATTAGCCCAGAGCATCTATGCATCAAGTTTCATCAAAAATCGTACTTCCCCAGCATAAGCCCTTCCGCAAATATAAGTCTATGCCTCTATTTTTAGACATTGACGAGTTGAGTGCATCCCTGATTATAAGCCCAGAGTGTTTTTACAGGGCGATGACATTTATTAAAATATGCGTGTAAAAAGTGTGTTTCATCGCATAAAAACCATGCTTAGTATGGTAGCTTGGTTCATTGTTTTAATTTTCTGAATAATGGTATCTATTGAGATTATCGAGAATGAGGTGTAATCGAGTAAACTATTCTTCTATGGGACCTGTTGGCAATCGTGACAAATTTAAATACATCCTCCACCCTCAGTTTATCTTTTAAAAATTGTGAATTACTATTTTTTAGGAAAAAAATCAGCATTTTTTCGTAGAAATCAGTGCTAACATTTTAACATCGTGGAAATTCACTTCCGGATTGCGTTAAAAAAAATTACATCATAAACATCAGAAAACTTTGTCAGCATTTTGATTGGTTAACGAAAGACTTGACCTGTTAGGTCCAAGGCTATTGAATCATCATGGTGGAAATTGCTTTGTGTGGAGAGTTTACGTACGATCGAAAACATCCCACAACCAAGATAATAATAAAGAACTTGCCTTTGACTGTTTTCCCACAGCACAGGCCCTACCCATTTTTACATTGAAAATTCAGACAGTATGTAAATCGTATTGTAATAAAATATGTGTATTTTTATGAACATGTTTGTTTTTTCATTGTAAAAGTGTTGCGGAAATCTAAGGCGACTCGTTTTGCTTTTTTTTAATCCCCTAAGCCCAGTATGGTGAACGAAATATGTAACATGGATAATTTTTAATGGGTGGTAAGATGATTACAATTGTAAACCAACAAAAAATCATCTTTTCTGAGGCGGCCCATAAGTATAAGTCCATCAAATGATGAAAAAAAGCACGAAAAAATAATTCTTGGAAAAAACAAAGAAAATTATAAATTATGGAATTCAAAAGAAAAAGACAATAAAATAACGAAGTATAAAAATCGAGTTTCTAGCATGGAATTTGATCTCCCATTTGCATAGCAAATGTTGATTTTTGGTGTTTTAGAACAGAAATGCTGCCAGTGGTTCAAAGGTCATATAAATGAAATACAACTAAACGTGCATAAGTCATTACCGAAAAATTCCTAATTGAGGCCGTGGCTTTAATTAAAATTCATTTTTTCAGTGGACGAATTCAGATGCGTGAAGTCTTGGTGCGGCTTTAATTAGAGCATTCACTTCGGTAACATTGGGAAATTTTTTTTCAAAAAACAAAGGCCAGAAGGGATAATGATATGCTAATGAGATGCACGACACTCGATTGCAGCTTTGTTGCGATTCTAAGCGCACTTTCGGATTTTTACACATAGACAAACTTGTACACAAACGAAATTTCATACTGTATAACATACTGCACAATAAATAATATCTACAAATAGATTTGCATGCATTTGCAGATTACGGTACTGTATACAACAATCTCTTGAATAGACTAATTCGTTAGCACGGGTAACAACTGAAAGACAGCCGTCTGACACAGTTGATTGCGTTCAACTACTGGCATGTTCAACTTCCGGCAGAGTGACTGTACATTCCATGTTTAATTTAGACATCGGGGAAATTAAAATAAAAAAATAAAAAAAGTCAATCAAAAAAAATGTTCGCATGATAACAAAAAAAATACTCAGTATATTATTTAATGTAATATATATTTATTTTCTCATTTTTTTTTTTATAACAAAAAGTATATTCTAAAAGAAGTAAAAACAAAAACGAATGCATTCTTAGTAGCAAATGATCACGGTAACGGTCATGCTGCGTTTCACTCAAGTGAATGACTTACTTGTTTTCGAAGTGTTACAATTGCTGATTATTACTCAGCAGTGATTACAGTAACGTACAAAAAATAAATTTGTTGAATTATTGTGAAAATTCAACTTAGTTTCACCGCAAACGAATGATTTCGGTCACATATAAACGCTCTATCCGATACGACATCCGCCATGTTTGTTCAAACATCTTTAGTGACTTGAAACAGTTTTTTTTGACCTGATAGGTCAAGTCTCTAATTAACCAATCGAAACACTGGATGGTGCCCACGTGATTAAATTACCATAGCTCATTTAAATATGTTAATGTAGTTCAGCAACCTCATGGTAAACAAAACACGGAAGAGATTTACCGTTGTTGTAGTGCGATCGTTTGGCTTTGATTTTGATGGGAAAACGGCATGATTTTTTTTTTAAATCAAGAAATTAGTTGTTTTTGAAAGATAAGCTGAGCATTGAAAAACAATTTAACACTTTTGACGATAATAACAGCTCATTGTCGAAACGCAGTTTACCCGTTCACGCTACCCACAATAAACCTGTACTCTGGAATAAGCGTCAATGACTACGGAAAACCTAAATTAGACTCTAATCTAAGCGCCAGGAATCATTGAAATGTTCGAACAATTATGCCTTGATTTAAAATTAAATGGTATATTTTTTTCTGAAATATGTGGTGGCTGTTTGGTTTGTGAAAGTTTGGGGTGCGGCTTATATTGCAGGCTTTTTCCTGGGATCAAAACTTGTCAATTTCAACATGAAACAATGTCTCAAGTTAGGGGTGCGGCTTCTATTAAAGCTGCGGCCTCAAATATGATTTTTACGGTAACTTGTCAGTGAATCTTTCATTTGTTCTGTGACTTGGAAA